TAGAGAACAGGACGTAACAGGCTATCACACAGCTTTTGTGGCTGTGTAATTGATCCACTACTATTGACCATTGCTGTAATAACATCAAAGAAGTGAAGAAGTCTAACATCTGTAGCAGTACTAAAATTGTAATGTAACTTCTGAACAAATGACCTGCATCAGGCAGCAGCAGAGGAGGAGCATACTTTAACATATGGTTAGAGCCAGTACTCTGCATCCCCAGCCTGACTGACTCCGGCATGCAGGAGTCCCTTGTTCCATATTATAAAGTACACATAGAGTTACTATTACAAGCAGCATGCCATATGTTGAAATAGAGACACGGGAGGTGCCACACCATTCCCCAAGTGAGAGCAGATCAAGTAACTTTATTATAAACGTAGTATTTCTTGCAACAAAGAAGAGACAGGAACTTCGATTTTGTAAATGCCTGTGTGAGTCTTTCTTTAGGGTGCTGGAGGCTTTTCAGCTCACAAATTGTTTTACTTTGCAAGGCCTGTCTAAATCTTGAAGTAGATTAAACGTTCCTGGAACGGACTGTTGGCCCTGCCGCAGTCGGTGGTTAGGAGGGCATTACTGTATCTGGTGATGTGGTTAATAAACCTGGGTATGAATCTGTCCTTGTTGGACCAAGCAGGAGCTGGCACCATGTTTTCCCAAGAGATGACTATCTGCGTTCCCTGATGGCATAGGTCAGCTGCAGGACAGAAAACAGCCAGCCAGCACTAAGGTCTGCAAATACGTGTGAAATGCACAGCACTTTGTGCAGGCGCAGTAAGTCTGGTGCCCTGGAATGAGGGGACATTTTGCAAGGCTTTCCTGTTTATGGAAGGCAGCTCAGTGAAAAACCTTCAACAAAAACCCTTCTCAAATGGCTGACCGTAGGACGAACAGCCGGATGCACAGCAGTAATGTAGTCCCTGAGCTATTAACAAAGTTCTTACTTTGTTAATATTCTGTTCTGAGCTACTTTAGGAAATCAAATTACCATGGAAACGAGGAGGAAGTTACAGACGGTTTATGTTTTTCCCCCTTGCAGTATGGTATAGAAAAATCTTTGTGTCTTTCTGGAGGCAGGCAGTGCCTGTGGCTATTTTGTGAAAAGAAGGTATGGTTGCCATAGTGTTGGCTAACCTGAGGTGGGAAGGCCAGTAACAGCGACACTGGAGTAGCACAAGTTTCAGCTTGGCCCTGTTGTGGCATGTAGCCCACAGTAAAACCTGTTCTGCTGTCGCTGTGCTCCTGTCAGCTGCAGCGGATTGTCCCAAGTACAGCCTTAGCTGTTCACTGAAGTGTCGCAGGTGTTGCATTGTCAGGAAGTTCTTCTTGTCGTGTAACACGAAACGACGAGAGGTTGGAACTGGACGTGATAGCCCTGCTCAGAGCACGTACACGTGTATGCAATGAAGAGATTGCACACTGTGCCCAGGGCCTTCAGCACTCAGAAAAACACACCGACCCCGGTAATCGAGCAGCTTGCTCCATGTTAAATAAACCTCATCTTGGAACTTCAGCTGTTCTGGGAGGAGTGTCCTTAAAACGCTGCCCGTGTATCTGTAGTCACCTAAATTTAAGTGATCCAGGTGCAGCTTTGGTTGGTTGTTTTTGCCAGGTGGAACAAGACAGCAGCAGTAGGCATAAGAAATTCTCTGCTCTTTTCAGTGTTGTTCATTTGGCTGGGCGTTTTCTGAGTCAGGCTGTGACAGAAATAAAGAGCTGTAAGGAAATTCTTGTCTATTTCTGTGCAGTTCAGTGTGAGAGGAAGAATATTTATTTCATGGAGGGTTAAAGATATGAAACTCCCTTTGTGAACAACGTTGGTTTTTGCGGTGTACTTTGATTTTACGTGCAACTGCATTTTTTAAGTAGTCGGAGGTTCAGACATCTCTACTAGCGCCTTGTGTTTGGCTGTTTTGGAAAGCTACCAGGGAATCAGGCTTCAGGGGGGAGAGGTGTGTTTGTGCTTCTGCAATGAGCTCAGAGGAAGAAGGCGTGACATGAAGAATGAGAAAAGCCTTGTGTTTCCTGTGATCGTTTAATTGTGTTCCATAAACAAGAGATTTATCTCTGTCCATGTTTAAAAACAATTCCATGGAATTGCACAGATTTTTCAGTGTTGTTTGGAAACCTTTGCTCACTTTCTTCATACACATCTTTTGTCTTCAGTACTGTAGTCCTACAATGGCTGTGGAAAGCAGTGGAGTGTATACAAGTCTTTTAGAGTGATAGAATTCACTAGTCTCAGAGATGAGATGTCTCTGGCAGTATAGTGAGAACAATTATGTAAAATTAATTACTGGGATAGAACTTCAGGCTGTCAATACATCATTGCCTGTTTTGGAAACACAAGGCACTAGAATATCGTCCCTGCTAGATATCTGGCATTTTTAACCAAAAGAGTTTCAAAACTCTTGCTGTGAATCCACCTACTAATTGCCAACAAATACACCCTTAAATAACGGCCTTTCTGCTCTGTAGGTGCCTGATTTTTCCTTCACAGATTTTCTTCAGCACTGCTCTCTGGCAGAACGGTTGGTTGTTAGCCTTTGTCGTCTCTGGTTAGTTGTTACTATCAACTTTTCAGCTCTAATATATTTTCTGGGCAGCATATTTTTAGTTAAATTTTTCTCTTTCATGAACAGGGAGCTTGGCCAGCTGTCCCCTACTCCACTCAACACACACATACACAGTCCCCAACAAGTTGAGACACTGATTTGTACTGTGTGATCCATTGAGAAGTTGCTGGACACAGAAAAGGTTTTCCACCACCTCCTACAGGCAAGAAATTTTCAGGCTTATGTTTGATACAGTGCAGTTGTATTGAGCAATACAATTGAATTGCAATCTGCTAATTAAAAAAAAATGGCATGACAGCTGGCAAGAAATTATTTTAAAAATTAAGAAATTCCACCCACCCCTTGCCCCGTTCTGATCTTACATTTATTAGTGTGGAACAATGTCCAGTGAGATTTGAAAATGTGCTGCCAAGTATCAAAAACGTGAACTTTGTTGCTGGATTGGACTTTAACAAAAAAAATTCCTGGCTAAGTACATCCTGCCTCATTTTATCTGTCTTCCTTTTCTTCTCTCTTCCTTTCTCTTTCTGTATTTATTTTTTTTCTGGCTGTCTTTTCTCTTTTTCTTTCTTGCTGTCTTTCCAGTATTAGCCTTGCTTGTTTTGCTGCAGTTGCTGTTCTTATATTTAAAAAAATACTTTCAGTATGTTCACGTAGAGAGTTAAAAAAGCTAGTCTGCCCATTTTCTGAGGTTGTACATCTTCACAGACTCCAGCTCATTTAATTATAAATAGAAACATCTCCCTTAGAATTGTCACTTGACATACATAAGCTATTAAGAATCTTCAGGCTATTTATTCTTAACATCTACTAAAGAATTACACCATCTAATCTAAATTATTATTTATCAGTGAATATATAGATAAATTGATAATAAAGGAAACATTGCATTAATGGATACCAATATAGGTTAATTCTCAATGAATAATTGTTACATTACTCATTAAGAGACCAGATAGGTCCTCCTCAATGAAGAAATCAACTGAAAATATAGTAAAACATCATATTCTAGCCTCAAAAACATTTTAAACTTTTCTGTACTTGGGAGAATGAATGACTGATTCAGTGGAGAAAAGTTTTCTACTAGGATTTAAATGGAATATTTCCTTAAAAATTTCCTTATTTCATTAAAAAAGATGGAGTAAAGCAGATAAAAAACATAAACAGCTTTATTATTTTAAGATCTTAGGATGTTTGTGTGGAACATCCCCAATGGAGCCAAACAATCTTTGTAGAGACCTCTGTACCACTAGATGTCATGGTTGGTTCACAGAGACAATGCGAGAAGACCTTCTCTCTCCGGAAGAGTTCTGAGCCAAGTTTCCTTTGGCTTTAATTGCTCGTCTGTCATCCTGAAGACAGTGTCCATGAGACAGGTCATTAGGCAGATGCTTGTTACTAGGCAGAGGGTTCATTCTGTAGATAGTTTGGTCAAAGTCTTGGTTCCAGTGATTTTCTTCTAACATGTTAAGCACTTTATGGTTTCAAGTGATATTCTTCTGCTTTGGTATATAGCAAATCATGTCAGCTAGTAGCAACTCGCCTGGTTTCAGTGCCTGATTCTGCTCTCTCTTGTACCAGTTTAAACTAAAAGCAGTCTCTCTTAAGGTAAGCTGTTAGATGCATGAGAGATTAAATTTGGTTCTGTAGGTTTTAAACTGCTTTATTTTTGCTTCTCTCAGAGCACTTGGCCTCACTGAGCAGTAAACTGAAATCGTAATTTGAGTGTTGCACAGCCCTAGTATGCAGGTGAAAACCTTCCGCCGGAGCTGGCCAGCCTGGGGGGGACAGGCTGTCGGCAATCAGTGGCACTGCGCAGGCCTGTCAGGCTTTTGTGACGAGGTGACACGCAAGTTGTCCTAAATTAAAACGTAGGTAGTGTGGTTGTGCAGGGATTGTCTCTGTGGCCAGCAAGGCGACAGGGGTGCAGTCATTCTGCAGATAGTTGCGCTTGTTCAAAGTTGGCCTTTCCCCGGGCTCGCTGGCACTGCCGCTCACGGGAGGCTGCCAGTGGGACAGCTCTGCCAGTAAAGCCATTTATGTGAGCATTTTGTGATCTGCATCACGCAGAAAGAGCGAGGCTAGTTTAAACAGGCAGGCAGGCGCTCTGGCTTAGCGTGAAGCTGATCAGAAGGTCCTCAAACGCATCTGCCTGCGGGCTGAACGATGGGGCTGGCTTCGAGCCGTGGTAGTAACTGAAAGGTAGTTTCCACAGTGTTTAAGCCAGCTCAGCTGGGTGTAAAAGATGCTGTCTGTCTACATTCTGATTTTCTTCACCAGTGTAAACAAGTACTCATCAGTTACATTGGTTAGAATTACTTTCCTAAATGGGAAGATGTGTATATATATGCCATGTTCACTTGTTACAAGACTGCAGCTGAGCTGTCGGAATAACCCTTCCCTGATATTTATTTGTCTTTACAGGAGGCTGCTCTATGCAGACAACTTCCCATGGACCCAGAAAACATGGCCCCAGTTCAGACAGCTGTGAATACACCTGCCATGGCACAAGACATGCGGCCTGTTACAAACAATGGATCCGATCCTTTCTTGAACAGGCAAGTTCACGTCCTCTTCCTTAGGCGATTGGTTCTGTTGCCTTCTCTACCCTTTTAAAGCTGCCTCACTAAAGTAGTTTCTTATATAATCTTCTTTTGTACTTACCGTGAACAGGAGGTACGGCCGAGTGGCTGACCCGAAATCTTTCAGTATTTGCTTCAAGAAGGAATCTTAGAAAAATCGAACAAATGGTAATAGGTGGTTTTAGTTGTACTGCAGGTGTATGTAGAAGACTCTAGGTAGAATAGGTACATTACTAAGTATAAATTTTTTCTTTCATTTTTTTTAGGCTATCAGAACTGGTTTTGTCTAGAGAGTTGTATATACATGTGTGTATTTCAAAATTTAAGAGTGGCCTCGATCCAGTTGCTTTATATCTGGACTGATGTAACGTGACCCCATTAATGGCCAACAGTTGAGAATGAGGCTTAATGACTCTGTATTTAACTTTAATGTCTAACCTACTATGCTGTCTTTTTTCAAACACCATGATCAGGGACTATGACTAACAGAACATCTTGACTGAGGCTTTTTCATCTTTCAATTTATAGTGGGCCGTACCATTCCAGGGAACAGAGTACAGACAGTGGCTTGGGATTAGGATGCTACAGTATACCAACGACACCTGAAGATTTCCTGAGCAATGTAGACGAGATGGATACAGGTAGAATACTCCGATTTAGCTTAAAGTGTAATGATATTAATAACTTTGTGTTATAACCAGTGATGTTTTATAGTTGCAGTACTGAACAATAATCTCTCACTTTCCTGTGCAAGAGAACTGTGGGGGAAAATACCTAAAAGGCACTTAGTGCCTTGAAGGTTCTCAGCTTTAACTTAGATTCTACCCTTTACCCTTTTCCCTTAGACTGATAATAAGAGAAAACTGGAAAACGTGAGCCTTAATTTGTGTTTTCATACCATAGTCTAAGGTTGGAGGAGTAAAAATCTGATCTTGGGTTACATTCTCAGTACAAATCACTGCATTTTATAACTCTGAGAAATCAGTCTCATTAATAAGTCTCCTACAATGGCAAAGTTGGATTTGCCTTCAGACAACGTATTTAGCTAGTTTAGGTTTTGGTACGTATTTATTTTTCTATCAGTATCATAGAATCATAGAACGGTTTGGGTTGGAAGGGACCTCAAAGATCATCTAGTTCCAACCCCCCTGCCATGGGCAGGGACATCCTCCACTAAACCAGGTTGCCCAAAGCCTCATCCAACCTGGCCTGGAACACTTCCAGGGATGGGGCATCCACAGCTTCTCTGGGCAACCTGTGCCAGTGCCTCACCACCCTCAGAGTGAAGAAAGTTTCCTCCTTAAATCTAATCTAAATCTCCCCTTTTTCAGTTTAAATCATTTAAATCCTGTCACTACACGCCCTTGTAAAAAGCCCCTCTCCAGCTTTCTTGTAGGCCCTTCAGGTACTGGAAGGTGCTGGAAGGTCTCCCTGGAGCCTTCTCTTCTCCAGGCTGAACAGCCCCAACTCTCTCAGCCTGTCTCCAGAGCAGAGGTGCTCCAGCCCTCGGATCATCTTTGTAGCCTCCTCTGGCCCCGCTCCCGCAGCTCCGTGTCCTTCTGATGTTGGGGACTCCAGAGCTGAACGCAGCACTGCAGGGGGGGTCTCCCGAGAGCAGAGCAGAGGGGCAGAATCCCCTCCCTGGACCTGCTGCCCACGCTGCTTTGGATGCAGCCCAGGACACGGTTGGCTTTCTGGGCTGCCAGCGCACGGTGCCGGCTCATGGTGAGCTTCTCATCAACCAGCACCCCAAGTCCTTCTCCTCAGGGCTGTTCTCAATCCATTCTCCGCCCAGCCTGTGCCTGTGCTTGGGATTGCCCTGACCCACCTACAGGACCTTGCACTTGGCCTTGTTGAGCTTCATTAGGTTTGCACAGGCCCACATCTCCAGCCTGTCAAGGTCCCTCTGGATGGCATCCCTTCCCTCCAGTGTGTCAACCACACAACTTGGTGTCATCTGCAAACTTGCTGAGGGTGCACTCGATCCCACTGTCCATGTCGCCAATAAAGATGTTAAATACACTGGCCCCAGTACTGACCCCTGAGGAATGCCACTCATCACTGGTCTCCACTTGGACATCAAGCCATTGACCACAACTCTTGGAGCACGACCATCCAGCCAGTTCCTCTTGGCACTCAAAATACTGAGATAAATTACTAGGAAATCAACAAAGTTTTTTCCAGATAGTGAAATTCTCAGCACTTCCTCTCCTAAACTCCTTGTTGAAGTCATTAGAAGTTCTAGATGATGCAAAGAGTGAAAAGCTTCCCTATTAAAGATTTTCATGGTTCTTATTATTAATTTATGAAGAAAGAAATATAATATTGCAGAGCTAAATTGCTTTTCAGTTCTGGCCCATGGACAGCATTCACCCTTGTGAAGAGGGCAGGATAGAGGGTTTGCATGAGACTCAGTTGCATTGCTCCCTGCGCAGACTAGTGGACTTGGAACAATCGTGCTTCCCAGGTGGAAGGTCAGAGGCTGATTACTTTGAACTGCTGAAAAGGGCCTTCTGTGCTTTTGAGAGCAAAGCAAGGAGATGAAATTAACTCTTACAAGAATACGCGTTCTGCAAGCAAATACAGTTTTGAGATAACGTTTGTAGAGGATAGGAATGCTCACAAGTGCTTACGGGAAAGGGAGAGTCTAATTTTTATATCAATTGTGTTGTTTTAAATTACCCACAAGAAGAATTTGGTATTTCAAAAGTTCTTTTTTACTTTTCCTAGGAGAAACTATAGCACAGACAGCAATGAACATAAATCCACAACAAACACGCTTCCCTGATTTCCTCGACTGTCTTCCTGGAACAAATGTTGACCTTGGGACTCTAGAGTCGGAAGACTTGATCCCTATTCTCAACGATGTGGAGTCAGTACTCAACAAAAATGAGCCCTTCCTTACCTGGCTGTAATCGTTCAATGCTGATCGGGTCTGCAATGCAATTCAACATTTCTTTTTCCTCTTGAGATAGAGGTAGAATATCTGAAAATCCTCAAGAGATACAACTTACTGCCTTAATGACTTTCGTTACATCATCTTTATGGTCAGTTTAATCTCTGCCTGGATTTGATTGACACTAATTTAAATATAAAATACATATATATATATATATAAAAATACATATATGCATATATATTTCTTCCTCTTTTAAAAAAAGCACACTACTTTACACATCTGTATACTCCTTTATCTTTTCAGACCAGGCAGAAATATTTCTGTTTAAGGACAGAAAGTGGGTGATGTTTGTGCATGTCTCTGACTGATCTCCTAGGTGTTGATTAACATCACGGACCCTTCCTGAATCACAGAAGCTAACTGCTAGGTCACTTGGTTCAAAAAACGTGCACAGCATCAGGCCATGAGAGGTTTGTTACTGTGTTTGTGACAATAGTATCAGAAGCTTTTTTTATCAATTTACTTAAGCTTTAAAAATCTCTTTTTCATTTTTAGTAACTAACTGTGCTGTATGGAATACAGATGAAATCTGATCCATATCGGCCATAATAATTCTCATTATCTATTTGTAAAGGCACAAACAGTACTGTTGCAGTTTCTTTTTTCACTGTATTACTGTATAGTTTTCAGAAAATAAATACTTCCAATCTGAAAGTACCAGAATTCTTTAGCAACATTTTTACACAACAGTATTGTTGCAAAATAAACCAGACTGGTACTGACTGCTACCTTTTAAAAACAAAGCAACGTATTATAAACAAGCATTTTTTTAAAAGATCTTGGATTTTGATGTTTGTTATATTAAGCACTACAATTTTGTAATTTAGCGCATGAACAAAGAATATTTTATATATATAAAATCTGTGGCAAATATCTTCAATGCAAAAACATGCTTTTAAAGTCAGGTCTGAAAAATGTGGCACAACTTGTTAATGTCATATATAGGGGGAAAAACCCCTCGCTCATACTGTTCTCAGTCATGTTTTTAACTGACAGTGTCAAAATACATGTAGTTATATACATGAAAAAAGGTGGTAGCTTTATCAGGGCAGTGCCAAAGCAGCGTTGTAACCTGTCTGGTAAAGCTGCTTAGTTCTGAAGTCTCTCACTTACTGTAATCGGTGTGCAGGACGCAGGGCATGTTCTGTGCATCTCTACCTGTCGTTTATCCTACGTATTTACTTCTTTGTCAGAGGCTTGGGACTGAGAAGGCATCAAGGACATTAAGCTTGCAGTTCCCCTGAAATGCAAATGAAGTCCTAAAATTCTTAAATATTTTGAAACTATATTATTTATAACCTATGAATTTAGGCTTTTTATACTGAAAAATATGTCTTTTTCTGAAAGGCATTAGAACTTTTCTCTAAGCTTAATCCAGGCTATGTAGAGAGAGGAAGAGATGTAGCACTCAGTGAAGATGTGTGTTTGCCAGGTCTAGTAACACTTCACGAGATCTTACTGATGCACCAGAACATTGATCACTAAAGACTTTTTGCCATCTGATTGAGTGAAGGTAGGTGAAAAGGTCAGAGATGAAGTGATGGGAATATGGAGTACGTTTGGAAGACAAATGATTGTGTAACAAATGTAGATCCTTGCCGGGAAGGGTGGCTGCAGATAGGGATACGCAGAAAACGCATCACCAGTGTTCAGTAAGAAACATAACAGAAGATATTAATACATGAACTCCTGCTGGGTGTATTTGATATCAGAAGATGGAAAATAAAAAGCACACACACTGAAATTTTGAAAAAAAGAGATGGAAGGCAAAGACCTGCAGTCATGCAGTTTTATTACGTAGGGAAAAGCAGCTCTTTTTATGTTTTGTTTTGTGGGGGTTTTTTTAATAGAAAATAAGATGTGGCAGCAGAGTTGAGTCTGCACAGAATTTAATTACTGAATGGGCATTGTGTTTCTTTTATATTTTTGGAGGGTTATTTGTTGGTTTTTTTTTAATTCTTTTTGCTAGCGCTGACTGTTGAGATAGCAGAAATTTCTTTTCAACAAACAGGGGACCGGGCAAGGCTGACCAATATTAACTGTAATTATCATTAATCTCTGTCTTTTAAGCACTTCTTCAGGTTGTCAGCCTAAATGAAAAACAGATGGTCCTAAGGCTTTGTTCTTTAGTGACATGACTGACTTTGGTAAAAGAACTTGAGGTTTTGGGGCGTCTGGTTGCGATGCCAACTCATGAGGCCAGCACGGCACAACTGGCCTAAGGAACTGAAAGCCGCTGGTGCTGGAACCGCTTACAGTAGCTGCAGATCTGAGCTCGGGTGTGATTCGGTTGATGTTGCTCACCAGTAGATGATGTTTAGAAAATGCAGTTTGTTCACTTGCTGGTAAGTCTGTACCATTGTAAATTTAAGTTTTGTCATCATAAAAGACACTGCAAGCAGCCGAGGTTCCCAGCTGACATGAGCTGGCCAAGCTGTGTTGACGTCTGTGCTGGTTTCCCTCATTGAAGGCCACACTTCTTACAGTGACAACCGATGCAGTTTTCTGCTAAAGTCACGTATGATGTTTATCAGAATCGTGAAGCTACAGACTTAATTCCTCTTTCATTGGTGTTTCAGGTGATTAAGTGCCTTGGTTCAAAGACCTTAAAGAGGTAAAAAAATCAGAAACTATGTTTCCATATTACTTCCATAAGAAACCAGCAGCAGATTTGGAACAGGAGGGTGCTATGTGAAGCCTTACTTGCAGTGTACAACAACTTCAGAAATCTTAGGTCAGTCGTGACTTAAGTTAAAAGTGATTCTTTACAGTGTAAGCTTTTCATTTTTGTAACGGAGAGGATGTAAGATGAAGTGCAGCAACAACAAAATCTGTTTTTTAAAGTTCTCTTTTTTTAAAGTTTCTGGCTTTGAACAGACTTACAGCAGAACTTTTAAGTATTTGAAGCATATGCAATTCTTATAAACTAAATTTATTGCTGACAATATTTCACTGTACTATTTCAGGTTTTGAACTTTTACTTTACTAAATGTACACTGTCTCCCTGTAGTATAAACACAATAAATGTGCCAGCTGGACAGTTTTACTGAGTCACTGAGGGTGGCATACATAAGTCTTGGTGACACAGAAGTAACGAGACATTGTTAGTTACGGTTTGTATTCTGGTAATCCTGTTAGAATGTAACTTGGAGAGGGATTGGGTTTGATTTTCTGACAACAAATGCTGTTTGGGGGAAGGGAAGGATTTAAACGTCTATTTTAAAGGCAGAAAAATATGGGTGTTCAAATAAACTTGTTTCCTAATAGACTACATCCACGTACGTGCTAGTACTTTAACTTTTTTCTTTTCGTTTTGTTATATGACATGTGTGAGCATTTGTGTTTAATTTTGAGTACCTTGCAACAGATTGTATGTATCAAAAGCAATCAGATCAAACTGTTTTATCCAGGGTTTGATTCTGTTTTTTATTTTATTTCTTTGTTCTTGTACATGAAAAACAAATATAAATGAATTTAAATATTTTGGATGCGTATTGGTTTATTCAATGGTTTCTTTTTTTTCTTTGAAGGATTTTGGTATGTGCTTCCCAGAGAACTGTATAACTCTGCTTGGAATAAAGGTACAGACATACTATTCTGTGCGAAAGGCATACATTTTGAATTAAATTATTAGCACTTAGCAAAGTAAATGGGTTATTTTGCCGTTATGTTTCAGTTTATTAGTAGTTGTTATGGCCGTTAGTGGTGGTTACAGTTTCACTCCTAATGCTCACAACGCGCTCCCCGGTGCCACCATTCCTTTTTTCTTTTAGTGGCACCTTGTTAGTTAGAATTAGAATTAGAATTCACTAATACGAACGTTTTGTTACGATTTGTTTAATACTGTCATCTCTTAAGTTAGCACCAAATCCATTTGCTGTTAAATTCTGTTTTGGGGACTTGAATAGTGCATTGTTTTCAGTCTGATCCCTTATTCAAGAAGTTTCTTAAATTCTGCATTAAGAAAATACCTGTCTTCTTTCCTAGGAACAAGCCATGAAACCTCAACATCCTGGGCTTGTATTTGAGTGTCTGGTCTTTACTGTCATGGTTCTTGAATCATTCCCTTACATAATTTATTCTAATTAATGGTTAGAATGCTTCTAACAATATCTCACGTTGACAGAAAAAAGCTCTGGAACCTCCACCAAACAGAAACGCAAAGTGTATTAATTAGCTTTTGACCTTGTTTTGAGAAATGCGTTTGTTAATTCATGGGTTATTTACTCAGGAATATTAATCAAGTTTCTTTGGCAGAAACGCTGTGTGTTTTTTTATGAAGGTCATTCAGTTTGTTCCTCATGGTGCCACCTCACACCTTGGGCGGTCTCTCTCTCCTGCCGCGCTGCTCCGCGTGCTCTGTGCAGATCGCTGCTCCTGCGGGCTGCTGCCTGCGAGCTGTAATAAAGCCGTTCCTCAGGGAGGGATTTCCTGAGATTGTGACACGCTGAAACTCTCCGTGGTTTCAGAGGAAGCACGTAGGTACTTGGCTCTCCCAGACAGCAATTGCAGGCAGCAGTCCCGCTGATGGGCCCCCGTCGTGTCTGTGCCCCCGCCGTCTGTGCCCCCGCCGACAGCACCTGCGCAGCATTCCGGTGCCGGTGGTCGCTCCGGGTGAGTGGTGCACACATCGCTCCCGGGAGTCACCTCTCACACCCGTTCCGTAGAGTTCTGCCGGGAGGGCATCCCAACAACGTTGGTTTCGGTGTGATACTTTTGTTGAAGTCTTTACATTTTCCTACGCGGCCCTCAAAGCTCGCGCTTCCCTCTGGCAGGACTGCCTGCATCCCCCACCGGCTACCTCCTAATTCTTAAAAATGCCATGACTGCAATCACATGCAGTAATTCAGAAAAATTAACACCGTTTGTTAGGGTGGGGGTTTCACAGAATGTCAGGGATTGGAAGGGACC